AGTTTCCTTTCTATTTTGCGGTTTTTAGGCCTTTTACTACAACTTATTGTTCACTGTGGCAAATTTTTGCTTATTTTTGTCAAAAAAGACCCTCTAGCGCCTAAACGGTTAGAGATAGAGCAAAACGGACGAAATTTTCGCCCAAAGGGCTCTACTTTGACGAGTTACCCCTTAAGGGAACATAAAATAAAAATACTTTTTGGAAGAATTTTTGAACCTTGGATACCCCCATTCACACCCTTAGGGGTGGTTGCCAGGATTTGCCGTAGGCGTTTCGTTCTCTAGAAGTGGACCTTAAGATACCCTGAAAATGTCAAGTCTCCAGCACATCTCCTTCTAGTGGAACAGACAGACAGACACACAGACAGACACACAGACACACAGAAGCAGAAGGGCGGGCTTAAAATGCCTTTCCTGTGTTCGCAGCTGCTCTGATGGGAAGCGGCTCCCTGTTATACGCCACACGTCGGAAGCCGCCGAACGCCACACGCGGGTCCGCCTCACGCGAGGAGCCGTAAGCGTTCGCTGCACTACCCGGCCCCGCCCCTTCCACCGCACGGCGGGCGCCGGGCAGTGGTTCGCGCCGTTGTGTGGTAACGCCCTACACCCGCGCCTAATGAAAAATGCTGCTACTCCTGCCGCACAGGCGCAAAACAAAAGCAAACGGCCTGCAGGAAAGGCGCGCGGGCGCGTAAGTTTTTAATGCCGGCGCTACGCCACGCCACGCTTCCCAGCGCGCGCGCGCACGCACAAACGCGCACGGCCCTAATGCCCCAGCCCTTGATGGACCAGTAGGCTGGGGCGTCATCGTGTGGAGCAGATGGGAAAAGCCGAGTAGAAAAAGCGCGTGAGCTTCTCCCATCTACTCGGCACCGGCACCGTCAAAAATAAAAGGATTAACGACGCACGCGCACTTTCCACCAATGTTTCAGTCACCAGGGAGGTTACGACAAAGTAGTCTGCGTATCTCGTGCGAGCGGATGTCATTGATTGGGAAACCTTCCACTCCTTATCTCTCTCGAGAGGCAGGACGCGCACTTTCGTAGTTCGCCCGCACCCGCCATGCGGTACAGTGTCAATACGGAAGTGCGCGCGGCGTGAATCAGCCACCTAGTATGTTGGGCTGCCTACTCGCTCTAACCGTAAGACGCCATGCCCCTCGGGGTTTGCAAACCCGCAACACTGTTGTGTCGTCGCCCTGACACACGGTAGGTGGCTTGACGCGTTTGACGCTTTGAGGTGGCGATGCGAGCGTGCAAGGAAGCCGCCCAAACAGACTCGTTTGACGCTGAGCGCCTGCCCGGCCGCGGCCCGGCGCCCTGGACCTGTGTGTGGGACGGGTAACGACGTTACGACGTTTTCGTTAACGTTATTTTAACGTTAACGTAAGACGTTAATTTTTTGGCAGCTGGGGAAACGTAACGCGTTTGCGTTAACCGGGTCCCGTAACGTCGTAACGACGCTGACGTTAAAACAACTTTCGCGTGCACCTACATTTGGGCAGCTGGTCAGCGAATTTTGTAGTTTTCGTGAGATGCAGTACAAGCGCGACGAGCAAACGAAGAAAGCCGAGCGCCTAGTTGTACTAAAACTAAAACTTTGATAATAAAAGTAATTTTTTTATAATATTT